CGTCGACGATGAGCAATAGCTACAATGGATCAGACTCTCACTCGTTTTCTTCACTCTCAGGCATAGGTCCAATGTCATGTGTGTACACGACCATAGCTGTTTTTACGACAGCTTCGTTTGTACACACTGTGGCAAACTCTTCCTCTTGTGTGATGCAAATATGATCGCCATGTATCAGTATTGTTTACCTCTTGGCAAGATATACTTCCCGTCCTGTACTCATGACCACACAAAAGCCACACTCACACCTAAAAGATAAAAACATTGTTTTTACTTTGGGAAAAAACAATGAAGCATCAATAAAATGCAACTAACCATTCAACATTTCCAATTCTGTGAATGTGTTTATCTTCGCTTTCCGATGATGGAGAATTGTCATCATTATGACCACCTTACGCGTTGGCCAAAGGCTCAAACATGTAAGGTTGTACCTTATTGTTATTGATGATAATATCATAATCGGCTTCTTCTTCAGAAGAATCTATTAATCTTTGATAAATAAAAAACAGTAATAGCAAACTACCGAAAGCCGTGCAAGCACTGCATGCAAGTCGTAGAACGATATAAGAACGATGCTTGTTTATGTCAACTAATACGTCACTCTTTCCCAGCTCCCAGACTTAAACAATCTCACGGCGTTTTAGCAATGGTCATCGAATATCGTGTTTTTACCGATTATAACCCTAAATATCTTTTGAAATATTTTGCGGACAACTTTGAAACTTGGTAAGTCTTATTTTCACGCTATAGGCATTACAATAAAATAAAGTTGTTTTCTAGCTTGCATGTGTCCTTTAATGGCTAGAACTTTTGCGATTCACTTACCAGTAGAAATGTTTAAAAATGAGATTAGTTTCTGAAACAATCTGTCTACGTATTTAACTATTTATAGGACATGATTTCATTTCATGGACCAATTGATAATTGTGAATCACAACATCTCATTCATTTTTGTCGGCATGTCATTTGTACACTGCTCACTCGCAAAATGTTTTTACTCGCAAGTGACTGGAACTTTTCGAGCTGCTTACTTTACATTTCTCTATGGCCTCTGTTGCTTTACGAATAACGTTTGTGCACATAGAAAATAAAAAATGAGAAGTTATTAAAATGCTTTTGGAAAAAAATCAAAAGATTTTAGAGTCCTTAGGTCTCGAGTTCAAAATGCTGGACGAAGTTTACTATTCACAACACTTATGATTATGTTTTTCAATTTCAAATACTGGAGGAAGAAATTTTTGAGAGTTATTTCGATTCACTCGAAAACTGCTCACACTCGAGATTACTCGCAACTGCATCGCGAGTCACTCGCTCAATCGCAACTCATCATCGTCGGGTGACTCTAGTGACATACACCTATCGACAATATTTCCATGCACTTTAGTTGGCTTGCGTTATACGTATGAGTCATTCTTCGTATATGTAACTATTTATAGGACATGATTTCATTAATTGCTGACTTTAAGTGTCTATAGCTTTTATGAGTAGAGTTTGTATGAAATATGGAAAACGGAAGTCATTACTCGAACGATAATCCTTTTACCACGAGGTGACTTTTTTAAATCAACTATATCTATTATTAATTATTTTTTCATATAAATATTCCTCTTTGCGTGCAAGTTTTGCAGTTAATTTAAGGGAATGACTTTATATTGTACTTTACAACACGCAAGAAAAGACGAATATTTATAAGACAAAATGATTGAATGTATTCTATCCTAAGATAATATATGTCAACAATCTAAGACAGTTAGAAGAAAATCTTTGAGAGTTACTTTGATTTTCTCACTAAATTCTCTATGGTCTCTACCGCTTTACGAATAACGTTTTTGCTACGAGAAATGTGAAGTTATTAAAATGCTTTTGTAAAAAAATTCAAAAGATTTTAACGTCATTAGGTCCCGAGATATTGCTTCGAATGAATAGTCGTTTTGCTCCCATGTTTCATAAAAAGATATAAAACCGTTGATTTCAAAATGTTGAACAAATTTTACTTGTCACTACACTTAAGATTACATGTTTGTAAATGTAAATCGTCCAGGTTGGTACAGTCCTGAGAAGGACTGTTTTTGTTGTTGTTGACTGACGTTTCGACAACCTTAGCGGTAGTCATCTTCAGAGTCAAATGAGGAGTAAACGTCAGGTTAGCCGTATTTGTTATCTGGTTCTTACGTCATTGTATTGTGTTTACAGGAAATGCGTATTGTCATTGTGAATTAGTGTGAAGTGAAATATTTTATTTTTAGTTGTGATGTGTGATTTAGGTGTGATGTTTTTAGTTGTAATGTTTGGGTGTCAATTGTTTATTGTCATTGTGAATTAGTGTGAAGTGTAATGTTTTTAGTTGATCGTTTGTTTGTATTTTGAATAAGTCGTTTGTAAGGTGCCGGTAATTGCTGTGATCTGTTCAGGGGTGTTTGTTCCAAGTTGGTATACCAACTTTCTAATGTAAGCCGTTATGTATAGTCAGTACTGTAAGTAATGCATTTTGCCGAGTTCCAGTCAATGTTGTGCTTTGTGATTCGGTGATGTTCAACAATGTGATTAGTTTTGTCTTGTTTCGTAGTAGCTCGTTTGTGTTCAGTAAGTCTTGTGTTTAAGTTCCTGTCAGTTTCCCCGATATAGGAGGCGTGGCAGTCGGAGCAGTTTATTTTTTAAACTGCACCTTGTCGTTCGTTGGGTTGTTCTTTGTCCTTTATGTTCGTTAGTACTTGTCGTAACGTTGTGATTAGTTTATGTGCGACACGTATGTTGTATGGTCGTAAGATACGCGAGATAGTCTCAGACGTACCTTTGATGTAAGGTATCGTTGCTGTTGGGAAGGGGCGGGGCGGGTGGCTGAATGGCTAATTGCGTGAGCTGTAAGCCAGACGGCGCGGGTTCAATCCCGGCTCGTGGCACATCTGGCAATGTGTCTGTTAAACCTAGCCCGGGTTGACCAAAGCCATGTGAGGGTAATTTAGTAGAGGAAACTATGTCCTCGGATGGACTGTACCTGTATCTGCAATGTTGCAGCGTTGTCACACTGTGTCACGCTGATATCAGCGTTGTAGTTGCGTGAAGGGTACGAGTGATTGTAGTCTGGTCAGCTGCCTTCACTATAATTTCAGTAACCAGGATGTTCCACTTTGTGGAACCCTCATACGTCGAAATCGACGGAGTCCATATTATTATTATTATTATTATCGTTGCTGTTGACATTATGGAGCTACTGGAGCTCTGCCTCACCTCTACCTACTTCCAATATAAAGGTACACACTACAAACAATTACATGGGGCAGCAATGAGCTCACCCGTTTCTGTTGTAGTTGCTGAAATTGTAATGCAATCTATAGAGAAACGGGCGCTCACGACTTACAAACATGCACTACCTTTTTGGTTTCGCTACGTAGATGACACAATCACAGCACTACATGCAGACGAGATTGATGACTTTCATACTCACATCAACAAACAGAACAGCCACATACAATATACCAAAGATGTCGAAGAAAACGGAACTCTTCCTTTTCTCGACTGTTTGGTAAAACATGACAATCAAAAACTACGAACAACAGTTTATCGCAAGCCAACACATACTGACCGACTACTAGACCAATCATCTTACAACCCTACATCACACAAAGCCACCACAATCAGAACATTAACAAGGCGTGCACAAATCATATGTGATTCACCGGACGCTCTACAAAACGAAAACAACTATCTCAAACGTGTTTTTGACAAAAACAACTATAACTCTGACTTTATCAAACGCAGCATTTACAAACCCAACGAACCCAACGAAACGAACAACTCAGTGACAACAGCAACGATACCTTACATCAAAGGTACGTCTGAGACTATCTCGCGTATCTTACGACCATACAACATATGTGTCGCACATAAACCAATCACAACGTTACGACAAGTACTAACGAACATAAAGGACAAAGAACAACCCAACGAACGACAAGGTACAGTTCACAAAATAAACTGCTCCGACTGCCACGCCTCCTATATCGGGGAAACTGGCAGGAACTTAAACATAAGACTTACTGAACGCAAACGAGCTACTAAGAAACAAGACAAAACTAATCACATTACCGAACATCACCGAATCACAAAGCACAACATTGACTGGGACTCGGCAAAATGCATTACTTACGGGTACTGACTATAGACAACGGCTTACATTAGAAAGTTGGTATACCAACTTGGAACAAACACCCCTGAACAGATCACAGCAATTACCGGCACCTTACAAACGACTTATTCACAATACAAACAAACGATCAACTAAAAACATTACACTTCACACTAATTCACAATGACAACACACAATTGACACCCTCAGATTACAACTAAAAACATCACACCTAATTCACACATCACAACTAAAAATAAAATATTTCACTTCACACTAATTCACAATGACAATACACATTTCCTGTACACGCAATACAATGACGTAAGAACCAGATAACAAATACGGCTAACCTGACGTTTACTCCTCATTTGACTCTGAAGATGACTACCGCTAAGGTTGTCGAAACGTCAGTCAACAACAACAAAAACAGCCCTTCTCAGGACTATACCATTCTGGACGATCATCATTTACAAACATGGAACGATACTCCCGGGTTCAAACCATTTACTTTACTTAACATTATGTTTGTCAATTTCAAATACTGGAGAAAGAAATTTTTGCGAGTTATTTCGATTCACTCGCATACAGCGTGTCAATTATTCACTTGCAAACTTTTCGCACTCGAGAGTGACTCGCAACTGCATCGCGAGTCACTCGCCCCTCGCCACTCGATACTCGCGAGTCATGTCATGTTACTCGAGGTCTGTACTGTAAAACATAATTATTCGTTTCTTTGTAAATCTGTTTGTTTTGTAATAAATTAATATTAATAACTGTGCATAGCATGACCTATAAATGGGCTGGCTATGCCACTTTAATATTGACATACAAAGTAATTGTAATGGATATACCTATATCATAATAAAATACTTCATTCATCAGCATAGTGGAAGCCTTCAAATTGAAATTCCTCAGCAGGGCCAGGTGGAGGAAATGTTTCTCTAATGGAAGTAACTGCACATGATGGCAAGACAACTCTTACTTCTCTACCCAAGATACCCCAGCACCATCTTGCCAACTGCCTATAAGCAATATGGCGGTACAGTTTGTCTTCGGGCCCATCATACGCTACCTCATATTGCTGCTTGTACTGGTACCAAGCTGTTTGTAAAACCCACCTGTTAAGACAAACAGGCTCAAAACCAGGATGTTGTGTAATGCACAAAGGGACTTCGGTGGTCTCATTCGTTTCTACTGCCTCTACATTTTTGTCACAAATATTGGAAATCTCTTTGCAGCATAAACATTCCTCGTTATTATCCATTATTTGGCAGTTACCACATTGACACCTGAATATGTTAAAAGAAAGGATCTTGAAAAGTAAATGTCTAAAATTCAATAAAGATTGTATCTTACAATAAAAACTTTAAAATGTACAGTATTATGTGTGTGCGGACGTGGTCAACTTCAAAAACTGAAAACGTTCTTCCTAGATCGAAACATTGGTCTAGAAAGATATTACATTTTATTACTCACCATTCAAGATTTTCGTGCCGAGGCTCATCCTCAATATACACAAATTCCTGTTTTTCGTTGTCCTCAAACTGGTGAGCTTCTTCGTGTTCATCAGCCGGCCATTCGGGCTCAAACTGATATGGCCGAATATTGTTTGTTGGATTGTATTCCATTTCACTATCGATTGCTGTATTAGGCCGAGGATCTTCCAAAAAAGCCATTATAAGCGATTGTTTTGTTTTTTTGTGCTAGGCTGTGCGTTATTATTTTACTTTGTTGTAAACAGAGTAAAATCCAAATCGGTTTGACAATATGACGTCAAAATAAATTCCGCTGACGCATTCTGTGCCCACGCTGCTAAACCTCAAAACAGCTCAAATAGCGCACTTGAAGACGCGATTTTGTCATAAATAAAATGCCTGATTTCACATCAATCTTACCTTGAATAACTTCGTCAATATAGACAATCTAAATTAAATATTTAGCACATCACCTGATACATTATTGAAAACATCTTCTGCATCACCACGTTCTTAATCAATAGTCTGGCATGGAAGGAATCACTAAAAAAAGAATAAAATTTACCAAATAATTTTGAAAACTTTCTATAGTTGTCTTGATTTGAGCAAGAGTTAGATTCATTATGTCCTTTAAATGCCCGCTCTTTTTTAGACAAGACAACATCACTGTTATTTTCTTCTCTTTTCTGGCTTTCACTCTCATTATGTTGCTTCACGTCCATTCTTATTGTTCTTAAAAAATAATTTCGAAACACTTGTTTTAATCCATATTTATCGTGTTCAACATTTTTTACTTCTGAAAAAGCAATTTAAGTTTCTATGTTCCTGGAAACCGTCCAACAAATGATGTATATGTTTATATAACCAATGTTTGTCTAAGTTTTGATTTAGAGAAAACCGAGTGTAGTGTAAGTAAAAACTGATGTCCGCTGACAATAGCACACAAGTAATCTTTATTTTCTTGCCAAGAAGGCTAGAAGCTTATCTTGTTTTTTCTCTGAGTAGCATATCATAGGGATGGCTTACGGCTTACGATCATAGTTTTTCTGCTCTTTAGTATTTTGCCAACGGAAAGGAAATATTCAACAAGCCCATCTTCAGTCAACTGTCAAGCATAAGTCTCTTTATAATTTTTGAAACTGAGGTGATGATCGATGAACATCGAGTACGGTTGAATGCCTTTAACATGTTACATACAAATGCAAAAACATTGAAATTGAAAGGATGGAAAAATTTACAAATGGTACGACATATTTACATTTTCCTAACCCTTTAGTAATTATTTTATAATCAGCAACAACGAATTCGTTCTGCTCTAATTTTTATGATGTTTGACTAATGAATTCATAGTCACATAATGCATCATGTAGCAAAATCTTTTAGTAAGCCTTGGCTCCCGGCTTTCATTTCCCAATGTCACTGCTTTTTCTTTGATTCTATTTTAACCATTTAGACTTCTAGGTATTATTTGCAAGAAATTATATCTTTTTTTCCGTTCTTACATGCTTTCTTTTTGTCGCTTTTGTGCAAATAGAATTCCCACCAAAAAGAAATGAGCACAAATCGTTGACATTTAAACTTAGTATAAATGCAAAAAATAGTTTATCTACAAATAACTTAGTAATTAAGGTACGATATCAATTGCTAAAAGTTAAAGTGCTCCAGCAATACATACACAAATATGAAGTATAAAGAGAGTTTAGCGATATTTTTGACCTTAATAATATGCAATAGCCATTCAATTCAGGATTATAGTATTTTTTATATCAATGAATTTAATGTAAGTCAGTTTTCGTTTTCGTCAGGCCGAAATATGTCAGCACCCCCAATTTTTTTGCTCCCGCACGCCCATGTTTGATTTCCTCATCAAATGAACTCTCAACTTCAACTAAGAGTTATTTATAATGTATATTGAATTTTTGGAATTTCTTCATTTTAATCATGTTGATATATCAATTTTTGTACAGATGGAATCAAGAGGAACAAGAAATCTGTCTTACATTATGCAAATTATTATTGTGGTTCAAAAGGAACTTGCTCAGTTCTTTATCAAACAATGGAACACTTGTTACAAATCATCTCATGGAGAATGGCATGATACACCTAAAAGTGGCAATAAATTTTACAATTTAGAATCACGAAGAAAGTTAGACGAAAAAACACGACAAAAATATCAGGATGGAGACACCAGTAAGTGGGACTGTACGATATTATTTGATGCAATAATTTTTTCAAATTCAATTGGAAAGCATCTTGACAAAAAAGCAAAGGACGCTGTTCATGCACTTCGTTGTGAAAGAAACAAATACGCACATTGGTATGAAAGGGAATGCTCAGATGATGATTTTGATAAAATAGTGAATATTATTGAAAATTCATTTCAAGATTTGAAATTTTCTCTCGATGAAATCATTGAAATAAAAAATCATCGAAACTGTTTTAACTCGTTCCAAGTTCTTCCTTCAAAACCTAATCTTTTTTTTGTTGAACGCACTGAATTACGAGATAAAATTACAAAAGATATTGAAAAGTTAAGAAATGATAACAATGATAAACTGACATATTTTTACATCACTGGTAATCCTGGCAGTGGTAAATCCCAACTTGCAAGACAGGTTTGTGAAAAAATATCGTGTGATTGGAAAAATAGAACTTCGTTTGTAATGACTCTCGATGGAAAAAATAAGGAATCTCTTTTAAAAACTTACTGTGAACTTGGATACCGTTTAAACTGTGACAAGTATATGATTAAAAAATTTGAAGATGAAAACTGTTCCATCACAGACAAAGTGAAGAATTTGCGATCGTTAGTATCCACACGATTAAAATTCTGGCAAAATTGGTTGATCATTATAGACAACGTGGAACAGCTCAGCACAATTTCTTCGTTACTTCCCCAAGTTGGTGATCCCATGTGGATAAATGGTCAAATCATAGTAACTATCCAGAACACAGATGCCGTACCTCAAGACGATGAGTTTAACAAACATATTTCTATCAGAAGTGGAATGAATGATAAGGAATGTTTTCAACTGTTGAAGCATTGCACTATTGAACATGATGATGATAAATTGTTAAATAAAGTATCGCACGCATTAGGTCGTCAACCGCTGGCTTTGGCTGCTGCTGGTTATTATGTCAGTCGTGTAAACAAAGCAAACTGCTCATTTACTTGGAAACAATATTTAAAGAAAATATCTTCAGATGAAGAAGAAAACATGGACGCCACTTTTGTTAAATTTAACTCGGTATATCCTAGAAGTTTGTTACAAGCTTCACTTTTAGCTGTCAGACAAAATGCTGAAGAATCCTCAATATTGGCAAATGTTTTTAACTTTTTTTCCGTGATATCGTTTGATCCTATACCACGAGACATTATTGTTTTTTATGTTCAAGAAATTGATCCCAAACACTCAAAGGAAGATATATGTCTTTGTTTAAAGGACTGCTCATTGTTCTTGCATTCAGAAAATAATGACATTAGTCTACATCGCATTGTTCACAAAGCAATTATTGTTTATCAATCTGAACACTTAAATAAAGAATGAAAATGAGAATGTCAATCAAACGTTGACCAAATATCTAAAGCACTTTACATGTTTAATGAGAGAGACGACGAAAGCAAGTTAATGCCACATCTTGAAAAAATTCTTCAATTAATAAAGACCTACAAGACAAAAATCAACATGAACACTTTACAAGTTTTCCAATATTTTGTTGAGAGACTAAGATATTTTGGAAAATACGATCTTGCTCTTGAACTATTGGATAAATTTAAATCAGAAGAATCTAGTTATGACAAAGCTTGGTATTTTAATATCCTCGGTGTTTTATACCATCACACCGGGAAGTATAGCAAAGCTAAAAATCATCATGAAAAAGCTCTGGAAATTCAAAAACAATCGCTAGGTCGAAATCATGTTGATGTTGCTGCGTCTTTACACAATCTTGGTATGGTGTTTGATGAAACTGGAAATTACGAGAAAGCTATAGAGCTTTACGAAAAAGCACTAGAAATTGAAAAACAATCGTTAGGTCCAAATCATGTTGATGTCGCTACGTCTTTACACAATCTTGGTTTGGTGTTTTATAAAACTGGAAACTACGACAAAGCTATAGAGCTTTGCGAAAAAGCACTAGAAATTCAAAAACAATCGTTAGGTCCAAATCATGTTGATGTCGCTGCGTCTTTAAACAGTCTTGGTATGGTGTTTGATAAAACTGGAAACTACGACAAAGCTAGAGAGTTTCACGAAAAAGCTCTGGAAATTCAAAAACAATCGTTAGGTTCAAATCATGTTAATGTCGCTATGTCTTTAAACAATCTTGGTAATGTGTTTTATAAAACTGGAAACTACGACAAAGCTATAGAGTTTCACGAAAAAGCTCTGGAAATTCAAAAACAATCGTTAGGTCCAAATCATGTTGATGTCGCTATGTCTTTAAACAATCTTGGTAATGTGTTTTATAAAACTGGAAACTACGACAAAGCTATAGAGTTTAACGAAAAAGCTCTGGAAATTCGAAAACAATCGTTAGGTCCAAATCATGTTGATGTCGCTTCGTATATAAACAATCTTGGTACTGTGTTTTATAAAACTGGAAATTGCGACAAAGCTATAGTGTTTTACGAAAAAGCACTGGAAATTCGAAAACAATCGTTAGGTCCAAATCATGTTGATGTTGCTACGTCTTTACACAATCTTAGTACGGTGTTACATAAAGCTGGAAACTGCGACAAAGCTATAGAGTTTTATGAAAAGCTCTGGAAATTCAAAACAATCGTTAGGTCCAAATCATGTTGATGTCGCTGTGTCTTTAAACAATCTTGGTTTAGTGTTACATGAAACTGGAAATTACGAAAAGGCTATAGAGCTTTGCGAAAATGCTCTGGAAATTCAAAAACAATTGTTAGGTCCAAATCATGTTGATGTCGCTGCGTCTTTAAACAGTCTTGGTATGGTGTTTAATGATACTGGAAACTGCGACAAAGCTATAGAGCTTTACGAAAAAGCTCTGAAAATTCAAAAACAATCGTTAGGTCCAAATCATGTTGATGTCGCTGTGTCATTAAACAATCTTGGTTTAGTGTTACATGAAACTGGAAATTACGAAAAGGCTATAGAGCTTTGCGAAAATGCTCTGGAAATTCAAAAACAATTGTTAGGTCCAAATCATGTTGATGTCGCTGCGTCTTTAAACAGTCTTGGTATGGTGTTTAATGATACTGGAAACTGCGACAAAGCTATAGAGCTTTACGAAAAAGCTCTGAAAATTCAAAAACAATCGTTAGGTCCAAATCATGTTGATGTCGCTGCGTCTTTAAACAATCTTGGTAACGTGTTTTATAAAACTGGAAACTACGACAAAGCTATAGAGTTTCACGAAAAAGCTCTGGAAATTCAAAAACAATCGTTAGGTCCAAATCATGTTGATGTCGCTATGTCTTTAAACAATCTTGGTAACGTGTTTTATAAAACTGGAAACTACGACAAAGCTATAGGTTTCACGAAAAGCTCTGGAAATTCAAAACAATCGTTAGGTCCAAATCATGTTGATGTCGCTATGTCTTTAAACAATCTTGGTAACGTGTTTTATAAAACTGGAAACTACGACAAAGCTATAGAGTTTCACGAAAAAGCTCTGGAAATTCAAAAACAATCGTTAGGTCCAAATCATGTTGATGTCGCTATGTCTTTAAACAATCTTGGTAATGTGTTTTATAAAACTGGAAATTACGACAGAGCTATAGTGTTTTACGAAAAAGCACTTGAAATTCGAAAACAATCGTTAGGTCCAAATCATGTTGATGTCGCTTCGTATATAAACAATCTTGGTAATGTGTTTTATAAAACTGGAAATTGCGACAAAGCTATAGTGTTTTACGAAAAAGCACTGGAAATTCGAAAACAATCGTTAGGTCCAAATCATGTTGATGTTGCTACGTCTTTACACAATCTTAGTACGGTGTTACATAAAGCTGGAAACTGCGACAAAGCTATAGAGCTTTATGAAAAGGCTCTGGAAATTCAAAAACAATCGTTAGGTCTAAATCATGTTGATGTCGCTGTGTCATTAAACAATCTTGGTTTGGTGCTTAAAAAAACTGGAAACTACGACAAAGCTAAAGATTGTCACGAAAAAGCTCTGAAAATTCGAAAACAATCGTTAGGTCCAAATCATGTTGATGTCGCTGCGTCTTTAAACAGTCTTGGTATGGTGTTTGATGATACTGGAAACTGCGACAAAGCTATAGAGCTTTACGAAAAAGCTCTGGAAATTCAAAAACAATCGTTAGGTCCAAATCATGTTGTTATTGCTGGGTCTTTAAACAATCTTGGTAATGAGCTTGAAAAAACTGGAAACTATGACAAAGCTATACAGCTTCACGAAAAAGCTCTAGAAATTCGAAAACAATCGTTAGGTCCAAATCATGTTGATGTCGCTGCGTCTTTAAACAATCTTGGTAATGTGCTTGAAAAAACTGGAAACTACGAAAAAGCTATAGAGCTTCACGAAAAAGCTCTAGAAATTAAAAAAAAATCGTTAGGTCCAAATCATGTTGATGTCGCCACGTCTTTAAAGAATCTTGGAGTGGTGTTTGAAAAATCTGGAAACTATGACAAAGCTAAAGAGTTTGAGGAAAAAGCTAAGGAAATTCGCAAAAAAACGTTAGGAACTACTCAGGTTGATGTCGCTAAGTCTTTTAAACAGTCTAGATGTGATGTATTATGAAACTCGGGAATATGACAAAGCTTTACAGTAGTACTTTGGTAGCTATGTGTTTTAAAGAAAATTGTACCTTCCAAATTATGTTAAGCCTATTTTTAACACATAGACCGTAGGAGCAAGGCTTCCACCTGCCAAGTCAACTCCCCTCTCCCTCAGAAGGTATTTTTGGTGCTGAACTAAACGTTTGCACTTTGCATTTTATGAAATAAAATGAACCTAAAGATGCAATGGTCCTATTCTATATATGTTTTCACTGATATCTAGTCAATAAACTTACTCTACAGCCCAGGAATCATCGTAAGTAAAACTTAGAACTGCACATGCCCTGAATCTGACATTGTCCTTCAGACTTTATTTCTAGAGTAAATTGTTTTTATGTTATAATCACGTAGTAATTTTTATTGTATGATTCACAAACATACTAAAGTATATTGGGATGAAAGAATTTTATGACATAAATTATGTTAGATGAAAATTATCCAGTCATTTTCTAATTTTTTTCAATGCATTCAGTATATTTTTACTCAGCTCTATAAGCCTAAGACCATATTCCAGGTTCCTATAATTTCCAAGGGGTACACCTTTCATACCATACATACCACCCCACCATGCTGCAGCCAATATTCCTGTACTGTCACTATCTCCACCATGAAACATAGAACAAGAACACAATTGAAACCAGGAATCTTTTGCCATCATCAAAGCATCGTAAGCAATCATTGGTGCATCATGACCACTGGACCCACCCCAACCTGCATAACTCACAGATTTATAAAAAGCATCACGTTCAGGTATGTTATATGTCACTGGAAACGTTGGTTCACTCATTCTATTGGTTAGTCCACGTAGTTCAAGATATGACTACCAACTATTTTGAAAGTGGCCGCAAGCTTTCTTGTTTTCTTCTACATCTCGACCAACCTTCACAATGTATTCCCAAACTTTGGGTAAAACACTATCTTCTGTATAGCATAGGCTGTATTTAAAGCTGCAGTAACAGCCCCAAGATAACCTATAATTAAAATCGTTATCTTTAAAGATTGCTAATTTCAGGTTACTTACATTATGGTGACCCTATTTACATAATAGCAGCATTTTGATATGGATCATGGATTCAATTTATAATAATAATGGACTCCGTCGATTTCGACGTATGAGGGTTCCACGAAGTGGAACATCCTGGTTACTGAAATTATAGTGAAGGCAGCTGACCAGACTACAATCACTTGTACCCTTCACGCAACTACAACGCTGATATCAGCGTGACACAGTGTGACAAGGCTGCAACATTACAGATGCAGGTACAGTCCATCCGAGGACACAGTTTCCTCTAACAAATTTCCCTCACATGGCTTTGGTCAACCCGGGCTAGGTTTACAGACACATTGCCAAATGTGCCACGAGCTGGGATTGAACCCATGCCGTCTGGCTAACAGCTCACGCCATTAACCATTCAGCCACTCGCCCTGCTTGGATTCAATGGCTGTAGTAGTGAAGATATAAAAGCAAGAACAGCAATGGCAATTCAAACAGTTTTTAGAAGACAGAAATTTGGAAATGTGGAAAAGCGATAAAAAGGATGGATCAAAGATATGGTGATTAAAAGTGAGAATGTTAGAAGGATGGAGGCATTTGAGACGTGGTTCTGGAAAATGATGGATTGCATAGACTTATGCAAACCTAAGGTCAACCTTCTTTTATTTCATTTATAAATTGATATTAGATAAAAGGATATGAAACATTCATGGCAATGGCTTGATCAAGTAAGTAATCGAAGGAAGAGATGAAGGTGAAACATCTAAGAAAAGCAAAAGGATTGAAAAGCTAAATTACTATAAAGGTTTGTTAAAATGAAAAGAAATGCAGATAACAGGAAAACCTAGCAAACTGTATACAAAGCAAAACTTGTTGATAGACAAAACACTAGACATTACTGACTTGATAATCAATACATGATCTGAAATCGTTGCTTTATTAAGAAAGGTGAATACCTGTGGGATGATTATGAGTCATCCTTCCACTTTCAACAGAAATTTCAATTAACATTTCAATTTGATCTTCACAAGGAAACATCAAACCTATACACATGGATCTCATAGCTGCACCACATCCGCCACCACGTTCATTAAATGGTATAATGTAACCTTTTTCCTCAAGACGTTGTAACATGAAACATGCCTTTGTTGTGGTCTGACCAGGAGCTCTTTCCCACATATCCTCAGCACAGCACATGTCTTCTTGTACTTTGTAGCCATAATGCTCAATAACTCTTCCGTTGTTGTCCATTGCTTCTGCTGTAGCAATGTGTAGTACAGTGTCGTCACTAATCCTCCATTCTTTAATGTCAATTTTATCAAGTCCTCCGAGTTTTTCTAGTTCTTCATGAATTTGAGTACCACTGTAACAGAATTCCCACAAACCATTCTTATAACCTAGAGCATCCAACACTCCACTGAGAACCATAACTGCTTCGTATTTCTCTAATAATTCGACCGTATTTTCATAAGCCATTTTTAATGTTTACTTCAGGGTATTTTCATGAACGCTTAACATGGGTTTTTGAAACGCGGAAAACACCAGGCTTACCTCAACTTATAAAAACAAAAATCTTTTCTTTGCTTTGTTTCAATATTGTTTCAAACTATTCTGTTTAGATTTAGACGAGAGCGTTGGGAGACTGGGTCTGTTATTTTGTAATCCTTAATCTTTACTGGATTCCTTGATCTTTAATCTGATTAACATGTTGCTTGTTGCAAAGATACGTTAAGAGTTGATAAAATTTTTCAGCGATAATATTCGAAAATATGGCTTTTGCATTGGTGAATTTTTACAACGAAAATACATGGATATCATTCCATATTCTAACATCATTTTTTAGGATGAAAATATGTCGAAAGACAAAGATGAACTTAAAGGATTCAAAACGTTAGTCATGTGGGGAGATGGAAAAACAAAGGGAAACGGCAAGTCGATGGAATTTCCTGCAGAGATAATAGAGGTTTCAGGTTAGTATTTTTAGTCTGTTGTAGAATTTTTGTAAAATTTCTAAAAGCTTGTATAATTCAGCCAAAAGGCTAATTGCTAGTGCATCAAGCTCTTTCTCTTTGTTATCATTTCTTTCATGAAACATCTTAGCTTTGCTATATATCTGTAAATTTCTGTGTGAAAATCTATTTGTTTATTTCTCTGTCTTGTTTGTAGAAATAGTCATAGTTGATATGAAGGTTGCTGTTGTCAATTCAACTTACTGCTTTTTTAGGAGGGAAATACTTTCTGATAGAAAGCCTTTGCTCAAATGTTGTTCTTTCTTCTACATAGCAATAGTTCAGTTACAATACTGACAATAAGGATGTGTCTATTTCCCATATTTTAACTTGCTTCCTCTTAAATACATGTAGTAATACATTAGGCCAAACTTTGCATAAGGTTGTTTCCTTATAATTTCAGGCATGCTACTGCTTCCAATTGAAAATTATTATTTTTTAATAGTTGTTAAATAGTCATCCATTATTTTGTATAAACAGATAGTAAAGATTATTTACTCAAGACAATGAGAAAAGAAGAAACTTTCTCTATAAATACTGGCAAAGGGTGTCACAAAAGAATTCACAAAGCAAAGTTTACAATTGAAAGTGATAATGAATCAGATGATGTGGTGAGTTGCCCGAAATATTAGATTGACCACATTTTGTTTAAATGGTGTTTACTGCATGTTTATCAATTATTGCTGTCGTCATCTATAGTTAGCACTCATGTCACTAATGTGATGATGCATTCATGGAAATTTGTTAAGTACTCCATATGGTATTCATGATTCAAATGTTATTAGCTACTAATTCTATGTTTGAAGGTCTGCATTGCTGAACAAGGCTATGAGCCTGAAAATTTAAATGAGAAGTAGTAGCTAATAACAAACTTTTCAAACAATATGTATAAAATTTTGCATTGTTGTTCTTTTTACCAGCAGGAGCACAGTATTCCTAAAAAGCTAAAGGCATCCAGGGCAAAGAAAACAGAGGCTTGCTGCTCAGCCAGTCTTGCTTCACTTATAAAGGAGTGATTAACCAAGGTATGTACTATACACAATGATAACACTAATTATTCTTATCTCTAAATTATGCAATTTTATTATTAATGGGGAATGCTAGGGAATTAAGGTCATTTTTCAGAATAAAGTTTGGATATTGTTTTGTTAAAAGCTAAAAAAGTTAATACTGTATGATATGTTCCCTTTAATCATAAAATGCTGTTAATTTGAAATTCATTTCTTGTTTCTAAGTGAAAAATCTTTTAAAATGCAAACATTGTACAGTGTAAGGGTTGTATCGGGCAATCATACAAAAGAATTTTCAATCAGTGTAGCTTTTGAAATTAAAAAATTGAGATTTACATTATAATATATTGTACTTGTTGTTAGTAAATTTCACCTTAATAGTTTGTACTAAAAGGAAAATATTGTTAAATATTTCCTAAGTTCTTGTTGATTATTTAGGAGAGTCAGTCAGATGAAGGTAGTGCACTTTGCAATGATAAATGCAAGTATAAAAAAGAAGCCTTGGAGCTCAAAGAGAGGGTAAAAATGCTGAAAAATCAGATGAAAAGACTTAACGAGCAAATTGACAATGGCAATGGTAAGCTCGAGGAAAATTTACTTCATTTGTATTTTCAAATCAATGTTTTCTCTGCTTTTCAGTTTTGTCTTCCAAAATGGAGAAATTTGTAAATTGCTTGTTCTATTCAGTATATTTTGGATTTGAAATTTAGTATTTGGGTGAAAAACAACAACTCAATATTACGTAGTGTCATCAACCTTTAGAAGGTTATGATATATCGTTTTAAATTTATAGATTAAGAACTTCATGTTTGTAAATGTAAACCGTCCAGGTTGGTATAGTCCTGAGAAGGACTGTTTTTGTTGTTGTTGACTGACGACGTTTCGACAAGCTTAGCGGTAGTCATCTTCAGGGTCAAATGAGGAGTAAACGTCAGGTTAGCCGTATTTGTTATCTGGTTCTTACGTCATTGTATTTTGTGTACAGGAAATGTGAAATAGCGTATCAAAGAGACTTGTCAGAGACAACCAAAGACGAGATCAGAAGCAGGATAGCCTCCACTTTAAAATCGTCCTCTATACGTGACAACAACTTGACAAAGAACGAACAACAAGCACTCAAACGACTAAAACACGACAACAACATCGTCATTTTACCAACAGACAAAGGACGCGTGACTGTGGTCATGGACAGGAATGATTACTTCAACAAAATGGTCACCCTTGTTAACGACAGACAAACGTACCAACAACTCAAACGAGACCCAACACCATCACTAGTACGCAAACTAAAAAGCAAGATCTTCTCGATGAGAAAATCTAACATATCTGAACGTATTTACTATCGACTTAGATGTTCAGTACCACGACCACCCAGACTATACGGACTACCAAAACTTCACAAACCACAAATACCCATGCGACCAATTGTATCATTCTGTGGTTCGCCTACTTACGAACTCTCAAAGTACTTGACTGACATACTGCAACCACTTACAAACAAATCCAAACACAAGCTGCAATCCACTGAAACTTTCATTAAAAAACTGAGCACTGTACAAATACCGGACAACTATATACTAGTGTCTTTTGATGTGAAATCACTGTTCACCAGTATTCCACTTAATCTGGCACTTACTTGTACAAAATTCCTCATTACAAACACCACGGACGTACTGCCATTACCGACAGAAGACATTATAGAGCTACTGGAGCTCTGCCTCACCTCGACTTACTTCCAGTACAAAGGTACACACTACAAACAATTACATGGAACAGCAATGGGCTCACCCGTTTCTGTTGTAGTTGCTGAAATTGTAATGCAATCTATAGAGGAACGGGCGCTCACGACTTACAAACATGCACTACCTTTTTGGTTTCGCTACGTAGATGACACAATCACAGCACTGCATGCAGATGAGATTGATGACTTTCTCACTCACATCAACAAACACAACAGCCAAATACAATTTACCAAAGATGTTGTAGAAAACGGAACTCTTCCTTTTCTCGACTGTTTGGTAAAACATGACAATCAAAAACTACGAACAACAGTTTATCGCAAGCCAACACATACTGACTGACTACTAGACCAATCATCTTACAACCCTACATCACACAAAGCCACCACAATCAGAACATTAACAAGACGTGCACAAATCATATGTGATTCACCGGATGCTCTACACAACGAAAACAACTATCTCAAATGTTTTTTTGACAAAAACAACTATAACTCTGACTTTATCAAACGCAACACTTACAAACCCAACGAACCCAACGAAACAAACAATTCAGTGACAACAGCAACGATACCTTACATCAAAGGTACGTCTGAGACTATCTCGCGTATCATACGACCATACAACATACGTGTCGCACATAAACCAATCACAACGTTACGACAAGTACTAACGAACATAAAGGACAAAGAACAACCCAACGAACGACAAGGTGCAGTTTACAAAATAAACTGCTCCGACTGCCACGCCTCCTATATCGGGGAAATTAAACATAAGACTTACTGAACACAAACGAGCTACTAAGAAACAAGACAAAACTAATCACATTGCCGAACATCACCGAATCACAAAGCACGACATTGACTGGGACTCGGCAAGATGCATTACTTACAGTACTGACTATAGACAACGGCTTACATTAGAAAGTTGGTATACCAACTTGGAACAAACCCCCCTGAACAGATCACAGCAATTACCGGCACCTTACAAACGACTTATTCACAATACAAACAAACGATTAACTAAAAACATTACACTTCACACTAATTCACAATGACAATACACATTTCCTGTACAAGCAATACATTGACGTAAGAACCATATAACAAATACGGTTAACCTGACGTTTACTACTTATTTGACTCTGAAGATGACTACCGCTAAGCTTGTCGAAACGTCAGTCAACAGCAACAAAAACAGTCCTTCTCGGGACTTTACCAATCTGGACGATCTACATTTACAAACATGTAACAATACTCCCGGAATTGTATCGTGGATTCATGTTTTATTGAATTCTGTATAAAATAATGTGTACTACTAGAATCTGTACGGGGAATTTGCTAAATTGTGTTTATGTAACCCTTAGTTAATGAACTACATTATAACATGGATTCATTGGAAAACTGTAGTTTTGAAAACTGTAGTGTTTGGGAACAAAACTATCAATTGTTAAACTACATTTCTCCCAAAACTTTAGTTTCTATATCTATAGTATCCCCAAATCTATAGTTCCGAAAACTATAGTTTATTCATACAACTATAGTTTTCGGAACTACAGTTTTTGTTTCAAAATACTAAAGTTTTCAAAACTATAGTTTATTTTTGTAAGGGTTGAACCAACTTTTTGCAAGTACCTTTTTTAATGCTATCGGTGCCATTGTTTAGTTGGATGTTTTGAAAGGGTTGAACATTGATTACTTTTTCGTGGCTGACGTGGATGTTGAAGTGCATGGCTCAAAGTCTGTCTTACAATACTGCAAAAGAAAGAGCATCTCCGCTTCATTTTTACTTTTGTAAACAGCTCTAGAGGTTTGTGGTCGTCACTTTATATCATGCCTGTGACGAAATACATTTTTCTTCTCAGGACAACTGAGAACTTGTGAATTTTGTTTCTTATTTAATATTATAATCTAATACAAACTTTTTTGGTTGTAGCAATTAAGTCAACCGACAACGTTTAAACTGTTACCGAGAATCGCATGGCAAGATTGAAACAGAAGAGAAAATCTTTGCGTGATATTTTAAATCAGAAATACTGTAAGTATGAAATTGTAACTAATTGTAAAACATTTAGATGGAATATGAAAAGGTTGTTCTTGGTCAATATTTTTTTGAAGTAAGTACAGTTACTTCTGAATGAAAATTTGTAATATTAGAAGCAATGATTAATAAAAGGAGTTGCACACAATCCTGCCGCAATTTCAGTAAGAATAGCTTATACTAGTTTCAAAAAAAAACATTCTAGGTGAAGCAACTGGAATGGAAAAAGCAAAAGTGCCATACACTTCTCTTTTGAAAGGGGATTTCAAATATGTATTATGCATATGACTGTTCAAAACACGCATCATTACGGGATCCATCGATTATGGGAGAAGCAGCATTGGATTTATTTATTGAAAAATCAAATGAGCTTACATATGTAGAAAGGGAGATTGTGTAAGGAAATGATGTTCTTCATGCAGAAAATGTTGAGGAATGTGACAAAGAGCAAGACAATGGCGGCCACATCCAAGAGGCCGTGAGAATGATGATAATAGTCATGGCGAACTTGTTAACAACGTTTCCGACGAATATGATGTTGGCCATGGACAAAGAATTGATAATGTTGATAATGGTTGTGAAAATGGTGATGTTCCCGGCGATAGAGAAGATGTTGTAAATAATGATGGCGATGATGATGGTAATTCTGGGAATATATTTTGTGGACGAGACGGAACAGTTAATGAAGGTGACGGGCGCCTTGTTACACAAAACGCCGAGCCTAAGAAAGTTGATAAAGAACACAGGAAGGGAAGAAGTAACAACAAAAGAAAAAGAGAAGAGGCAAAGTCCAGTGACAGAAAATGTGTGTCTTATACAAAGAAAAGAGCTAGTCATTTGACATCCTATGACAAATGTAAAGCCTTTCTTTGTCAAGAACCTTCTTCCAAAGATAATGGAATGGTGGATTGTGTTGTGATGTTTGTAAACAATGGTACCATTGGCGTTGGCATTACGACGAAGCCGAAAGGAAAATTTGATTGCGGATGCAATGTATCTTACTTTACTCATGGGTAAATTATACATCCACTTTTTCTAAACTACGAACTGTTAGCCTGTTCATTTTTGCGCATCACCGATTTATTTACATACGTATTCATAATAGTTATTAATACGTTCCTCGTGCTCTTAAATGTTTTATTTCTAAAATGTGAGTTTCTTGAACACACACGAATAAATATATTTCATTTCTTTTATCTTTTCCTGACAGATCTGCGAAAATATTTGACATAAATATAAAGGGAAATCCCTCATTCAGAGGATTAAAGGTTATGCTAGAATTTAAATTATTTAATATCAGTTGCAGATAAACATACCTATAATATTTTAACATTGAATTTTAGACACATTTAACAAAAATCGTCAACGGTGCCATACCCAGTAAACGCCACAGGTTATTTAAGCAAATGATCCATGGGCGAAATCAAGCTCAGACTGAACTCACCGATCTCTACATGACGTGTCCTTTAACTCAAACTCAAATATAAAAACATATTCTCTGTTAGAAATAGAGCCCCACTAGTGTCTTAACTCGTCATTTTTGTATATATAGGCAAAAGATCTGTTGAATGTAGTCAAAGAAATAGTCACAGATATTTTTCGATCCTTTGATGAAACAAATTCAATGAACATCAACTACATGTATAACGTTTTATTCCCTGAGGTTTGTTGTTCATCTAACGCCAAATTCCAAGACGTTTTTTTTGTTGTGAAAGCTATGTGACAGTGAAACTATGATATTTTATATAGGCTTGCATATATTGTATACGAAAAATTGAGCGTTGTCTCCGAAATAACGCTGAAAAAATTTTATAATTGTGCGAGTGGAGTTCAAGACGGTGCAGACTCTGAAAGTGACTAACCTTGTTGTCTACCGAAAAACCTGAAAGCTGTAGTGGATCTTGTAAAAATTTGAGGTGACTTGACAATGTATCATACTGATTTACTCTTATGACTCAATGTCGTCTAAACATACTATTGACGATGAGCTAGCGCTGTTTTTCGTTTAGGTTTACTGAATAAGATTTTCTTTTTTAGCTAAGTTCTACTACTTTATCAAAAAATAATGAATTCTTGTACAGGAAACAAGTATACTTCAATTTTTTCTATAGTTAAAATAAAAGATGCTTTAGTTACAACTACAAGAAGCAGAAAAAAATATGTCAAACAGAGTCAAGTTAACGATTAATTGAACTGGTGACTAAGGGCTGTTCATGAGCCCAGCTAACCGGGATTCAGCGAGACGTGAAATGATTTTGAGGTATTGAAAGGAGTAAAAACTTTAAACGCAAAACTTACAACCTTTCTTATAAGTCATGAGACATTCTAGTTGTAATTTTCGAACCTGGCCAAATTATTTGTTTTCATTTTAAAGGTTTTGTGAATTTGCAAATTCCGAACATAGAGAAATTGCTTAAATAGGTTTTTGTTGTGAAGGATTAATCTTTCCATTTGTTAAATGATTAAACGCTCGCTGAATCCCGGCTACCTGGCTCATATGAACAGGCCCTAAGATGGGCCAATTTATAGATATATTTCATATCAAAGTTAGCTATGAATCAAAATAGTTACCTCAAAAACACAAGTAAATCTTTTCACCACCATGCAACGCTATAAACTACATTAGCTGTTTAGATAACATAACAGTTGTTACATATGTGTTTTGATGGACAAATGTATTTATTCAAAAACCTCCACTTTTTCATCACTGTTATTATCCAGCGTACGTACGTTATGGCTATTACCCATGTATATAAAACATCAATTTTCACCATATACTACATTGTATAACTACCAAAAAGTTACATATGACTGTTCAAAAAGTATTTATTCAACAAAAGCTTTTCAACACCTTATTATCCAGCGTACGTACTTTGGGCTATTACCCACGTATATAAAACATCAATTTTCACCATATACTACATTGTATAACTACCAAAAAGTTATATATGACTGTTCAAAAAGTGTTTATTCAACAAAAAGTTTGTTTCAACACTTTTATTATCCAGCGTACGTACGTTGGGCGGCTATTACCCATGTATATAAAACATCAATTTTCACCATATACTACATTGTATAACTATCAAAAAGTTACATATGACTGTTCAAAAAGTATTTATTTAACAAAATGTTTTTTTCAACACTTTTATTATCCAGCGAACGTACGTTGGGCGGTTATTACCCATGTATATAAAACATCAATTTTCACCGTATACTACATTGTATAACTACCAAAAAGTTACATATGACTGTTCAAAAAGTATTTATTCAACAAAAAGTTTTTTTCAACACTTTTATCATCCAGCGAACGTACGTTGGGCGGCTATTACCCATGTATATAAAACATCAATTTTCACCATATACTACATTGTATAACTACCAAAAAGTTACATATGACTGTTCAAAAAGTATTTATTCAACAAAAAGTTTTTTTCAACACTTTTATTATCCAGCGAACGTAAGTTGGGCGGCTATTACCCATGTATATAAAACATCAATTTTCACCATATACTACGTTGTATAACTACCAAAAAGTTTCATATGACTGTTCAAAAAGTATTTATTCAACAAAAAGTTTTTTTCAACACTTTTATTATCCAGCGAACGTACTTTGGACGGTTATTACCCATGTGTATAAAACATCAATTTTCACCATATACTACATTGTATAACTACCAAAAAGTTGCATACGACAGTTCAACAAGTATTTATTGAACAATAACCTTTTTCAAAGCATTTATAAGCATACACAAGCCATGGCTATTATACATGATTTCTTAACACCTTCAAGTGTCCTTTACGTAAATTGATTTTCTAATAAAGGATTTTCAAGAGCTTTAAATGCCTGCACAAACCTGTTATACATCATCGCTGGTGCTTTTAGAGGTAGTTACTAATATTACACAACCTTTGGCGTTTCTTCCGTTGGCATACGGTTTTTGGCTTCCATGAATCGAAATAATAATTAATAGATTTTAGAAAAACTTCACCATTTAGCAACTCAAAACATTCAATTCTCTTCAGCTTTATATGAAATAATACTGAGTAGATTTCGTTTTAATTTTGTGATTAATAAGCACTTTTAAGTGCTTTCTTTGATTTGATTTCGTAACAACTTTTCAAGTGCCCTTTAAGTAAATTAATTTTCTAATTAAAGGATTTTCAAGAGCTTGAAGTGACTGCACAAACCTGTTATACATCATCGCTGGTGCTTTCATAGTCGTGTGTAAAAATATCGCTTTACCATATTCAACATCAAGTACGTTTTCATGGTTAATAAAACTATTCAAAAGTCAGTAATCTTGCCGTGCTGCTGAAAGTAGTGACCCACGTATTTTCCATTTCTTACTTCAATAAGATTTGCTCTTCCTTGGATCTGTCAAGCAAATGGCATAAATCTATAGCCTTCCGTTTAACAGTAAATGGAACTGAACAATCTTCATCAGTAGGTGCAGCTAGATATTCACACCAAAAATCATTGTCAGCATCGAATGTTAATGCGGTATGTAAATGATTAGAATGTGATTCTTTGCCTCGTTATAAGCTGCGATATCTTTATTGACATCCTTTGTTACTCGAGTAATTTGCTTCGAAAGTCTGGATGCCAACGCTTGACCATCTGAAAACAGAACAAACATACAGAAACATTTACAAACATACAGAGAACATTACAAAGAAGGCAACATGTAAAGTAATTTACAAACATTGCAAGTGGTATGGAACAATTATGAGATACGTATAGTTACCACAGTATTTAGACTTAAGATTTAGGAGAAACCATCTTTCAACAACATTTTTTCTCACTGGAGACAAAACACATTTTTCTTTCCTAGACGCAACCTCGCGTTTTGCATTTTCGTACTCTGAGTCAGTATTTTGCCAGCGTGCAGAAATTGAGTTTTCCCTTTCCATGATCTTCAACTGCTCGTCAATTCTAAACACTAAATACCAAATCACATTTAATATAAACGACAACGTTTTTGAAAATAGACATGTTTTGACATCTCATGATGCCATCTTCAGTATGAGTGAAATGATAGGTGATACAGTTATATAAAGTAATATGATACATAAATACAACAATAAAAGGAAATAAGATAAATTAATGAGAGCGTCCGAGCGTATTATAAACTAAATATTTGTATTGAATTTAAAAACTTGAACATTGAGGTCAGGGTTGTTTTATATGTGAAGTGCTCTTGATTTTAAGGGTGAATGAGGTACGGTGTGTCGATGATTTTGAAACAAGAGGTGAATAGTTGGTTTTGCATGAGTGAGATTTAAGAAGGCACGGTAGATATGAGAGTTTTGTCTGTTGTGGTATGTTCCCCTGATTCTGGTGGATAAATGGCGCGAAGTTCTTTGCCAATGTATTTGAATTACATCCCGCGCAATTGAATTCATATACCACCATAGATTTAAAGACACAATCCCTGATTCATTTAAATCTATGGCGTATATGAATTCAATTATAAGGGATGTAATTCGATACATTGGAGGAAACTGCGCCATTTATCCACCAGAATCAGGGAACATACCACAACAGACAAAACTCTCACATCTACCGACACCTTCTTAAATCTCACCATGTAAAACCAACTATTCACCCTCTTTGTTTCAAAATCATCAACACTGCTGACACCTCATTCACTCCTAAAATCAAAGAAGCACTTCCCATTAACAAACAACCTGACGTCAATGTTCAAGCTTTAACTTCAATACAATATTTAGTTTATAATACGCCTGACGCTCCTCTTAATTTATCTTATTTCCTTTGTTGTAATTTCTATGTATCATATTGCTTTATATAAACCCTGTATCACCTATTATTTCACTCATACTGAAGATGGCATCATGAGATGTCGAAACATGTCTATTTTCAAAAAAGTTGTCGTTTATATTAAATGTGATTTGGCAATAGTGCTTTTACGAAATTATGGAAATACCAAATCATTACAAATATAAGGCACGGTCAGACAAGCACCTTTAAGTTGCATATACATCTCTACTTGTAATAAAATGTAGAAAACAAGAAATAATTTTATTCGATATTCAAACTTATATTCATAATGTTATTGACGCATATTCATAGCTTCAAAATTTCCCAGTTCATTTTTCTAATATCTCACTGTTTAAGACTTTAATATCTCTAGAAACAAATTGAACTTTTCGAACTTTTGAACTTTTGCACTTGGATCAGTGCAACCATTTCATCGCATGTAAAGATCAGCGTACAAGTCCAGGTATATAACGTACTAGCATTTCCAATGTTCTTCTGTAAGTTGTTGAAGATTTACGTATATTTTTAAAAAAAAGTTTTCTGCGCGTAGAACATTTCCAAATAATGAGCATCAGTAATTATGTGTCAAATCTGTTCCTTAGCTACAAGCCATTATTTCTCAATTACTAACCTGTCTCAATTTCACGACCAAAAAAAGTCGATTCGTCCTTCATCCTCTCACGAATATCATCTATTGAAATGCTGTGAGCTTTAGATAATGAAAAGAAATTTACTGTTATAGATAATGAAGATGATTCGTATACTTTGTTGGATTAATTGTTAATTGTTCAGGAATCGATAAAAATCAGACTCAACGGGTTGAGTCACCTGATTTTTTTCAGGTTCCTGAGACGATTGCTTAAATTGTCTGAAAGCAGTGCGAAGATCATACCTCATTTAATTTCAAACACCGCACTGCATGTTTTCTATGCTTTCATGTGAGTCGTAAATAGTTCATATCCAAAATCAGAGTCAAATATAATCACACAACAAATACAAACATATACTCACACGGAAAGCACCTGCATAACTTTTCAATATCTGATTTTGCTTCTTCCACTTCAACAGCTGCTTCCATTGCCATCCAAACCCAAACAAAATTTAATTCATCCTCACACATATACAAATTCAAACAAAGAAAGAAACTAGCTATACCTAAACGCTTTCATTGCAAGAGCATCACTGAGTACATTAACTCTGTAACTTGACGCATTTCTTAGTCATTCTGTTAAATTGCGAATGTAAGACCACAATCTCTCCAACATCTCACCGTCAGTTAGGCCAAATCCTTCTTTACGACGGGGACTAAATTTAACCTTTTACAAGAAAGATTTAGTAAACAATTATTGAATTTTTATCATTTTATCATCTACAATACCATTAGTTATGACAGCATAGGTATCACAATCTGCTAATATGTATAAAAATAACAATAACAACTAACTTGGCATCGTCCAACATACACATAGCAGTAAAAATTGGAATTGAAAATTGAAAAATGTCAACAATCGGATCCTCCAAATTCTTTGTAAAAACAAAATAAAGAAAACATGTGAAAGACTACCTTTTCAAAGAAAAAAGTGTTGAGGGAAGTTACTGACTAAGGAAACAGGTAACAAAGCAACTATTGTCAATTGAATATTACCTGTAAGTGTTTCACCAACATGCATGCAACATCATACAATATGTTTATTTTGAGTGCAGGATTATCAGCATTATCTTTCTCTAATTTTGGAGAACATAAACCATCGCTCAATCTATAAAATATGTAGAATATTTTTAAATAATGCAACCACATGTATGAAAAATGCTTCAGCACTTGCACAAAGCATTAAAAGTAGCAAACCAGCTGAAAAAAATACATTTACACCATCAAATGCATGCATCCTAACCACCTCTTTCAAACCAAGAACATTTAGGTAAAAATAGACGAATGTGTAACAGACCTCTTCCATGTTTCAAATTTAAGAATTTTTAGGAAACTCATGTCGATAGCCTTGTTCAAAGATTGCTGTTTCATCAAGAGCCTGTAGCGATTCATAGATCAAACAGCAGTCCCAGCAGAAAATATTGACATTCCTATAAGTATCAATATGTAACAAACAAAAGTATACAAGAGCTTTATTTCTAAAAGCCCATGGCAAAAATTTATTGAAAATAAAAACTATGTGGTAAAGAATGTAAAAAAGTGAAATCTATTCAAAGCACTGTGACTTCCATTCCTTCATCTTGAATTTTTATTAGAATAAAGTATTAAAGCTACATTGACCTTGTTTGATGTGTGGTATAAATGGCAACAAATTGATCAACGTGTTTCTGATCATGGAACATCAGTTGTCCAAATAGAGGTTTTCCAAGACACTGCCCAGCTTTTTTCCTTCTGTCCATAAATAGAGCATCAAAGACTCAAAGATCACACCATCAGTCCTCAATAAAATGACGAAGGATCAATGATGCAAAATGATGCAGTCAAAAGGTGTTTGAGATAGCATTTGCTAATGCTTTTTACTAAATTGTCATTGTTAAACACACTAGCACACAACCAATTTCTTTATTATCAAGAAGGTTAGAAGTCGCTACCTCTCGTTTTCAGTCTGACCATTCCATATCATTATAGAGTAAAGATCTGTTTCAACTAAAAGTAAATGAACTATTTAAATACTTATAATTATATTATATAAAGAAATTTTACCGCTACAAACAAATCTTTAAGCCAATGTAAAACACGGTTATGTGCTATCCAAACCATTTGTCATTTGTTACTAATTGTTACAAAACAAGTACAGTCCAAAAGTCGTTTCTAAACAGGTCCACTAGACTCAAGAATGCATTACTAAACAATTTAAATGTATGGCAACAAGATCAGCCTTAGTCAATTCAAGGAAAAGCTATGAGTATGTTATAAATTATCCTTAGAAACAATACATGATGACAGTGACGGTTCAAGAACATGGAAAACTATATTTCTATCTTGTGACAAGACACGTCAACTGTCCAGTGGAATATTGTGTTGTTTTTAATGTTTGTGACATCATGTTGGCCTCCAAAAGCTGTAGTATGTTTTCATTTAGTTATGTATGTGTTGTATTCATAGCAAGTTGAATAAATAAATAAAAAGTAAATAATATTGATTTCGTTATGTATATTCTCAACTTTAATTAAGAAATAAAAGATGTTAACTGTGTTTGCACAGGCTATGCAAATGAGAAGACCTTTTGGGAGTACTGAGCAGATCAGTGCAGCCCGAGACCGAAGGTCTGGTTGCACCTGCTCGAGAGTTCTCGCAACGTTTTGTAATGAAGTGTAACTAAATAATAAAATTTCTGAACTTACTCCTAGTACTGCGTTTGTACAGGAGTCTAAAATGTTAGAAATCTTCACAATAAGGGTCTATAAACTGAATCAACTTAGTACAACCTCTTCCAAAAACTCCTTAAATTTCTGTATGTCTAAATAACAGGTCAGGAACTTCTTTTTTGTGAAGGTTGTGTAAGCTGCTTCAATTTTTTATTTTGATAAAGTTTTTTATTGCTTATTAATGTCGTAACTGGCCACTGGGGAAAGTTTGAGTATTAAGTGACGGTTACCCTAGAGCTTTAGGCTCCCTGTAAAAATTATCATGAATTCTTTTTGTAATTAAATTATATTTATTGAAAATCAATTTACGAACTAGTGATTGTGATACAACTTTATGATTTTAGTTATTGTCAATAAAACAGAAATATTTTGTGTGTTTAGAAATGTTTTTGAGATGTACTCTCAACTAACTAACTGATATAAACAACACACAAAAAGAAACTTCCTCCAAAAATTTACTGTTATAAAATCTAATTTAATAAATTCCAGGTAATTAAACACAGCAAAAATTAGACTTGCTAAATGCCAAGTGAAGAATAGAGTCCTTTACGCTTTTAAGATGGACGTGTTTTGCAGTGAAAAAAAATCCAATTCTGAATTGATTATTAAAAATTGTTGTAATCAGTTTCAGCAAGTATTCAGCAACATTATTTTATACGTATTAATCAGTTTAAAGAATGCCCATTTATCGCATCAAAACAGGGCAATCGCAATTGGCATTTTAGAGTTTGCAGAGTTTCATTCATTTAGCAGTTATTATAAATTCATCAAGAGGGGAATTTTCTTTTTGTGTGGTGT